ATCGGCTTCATGTTCAAGATGTCCGTGGCGTGCTGTTTTGGTAGCTGCGTTTTTGGAGCTGTAGACATGTATTTTATTTCGATGGTGTTGCAATCTGATCCCTGGCGCAATCGTGGTATGGTGTGCAGCTGTCAGTTGCTCGAGTTTGAGCACCAAAGAGAAAAAAAAGTCTTCTGATTCTCTTTAACAAAGACAGAAAGTGTAAGTGGCTTTTTTGGTAATAAGGAGAGTAACGGAGAATGGTATGACCTTTGGAAGCCTAGCATGCGATGGGTGATATTTGTCGTAAATTCTGAATGGATGGTTTTGTTTGTCTGACACATTTGGTATTTACGTTTAGGCGCTCCCTGCATAGATCCATGACAGGGTGCTTACGTGCCGTCGACATTCGGGCTCGACGAAAGATGAAAGAAGGCGTGAATACGGAAGCACGAAAGGCATTGGATGTAGTGTTTCATCAGCATCACCACAATTACTATCTACATAGCTACTACAAACATATGACATTGACGCTAAAACGCACGGGCGCCATGCAACGCGTAGCCAGCTCTAACCCTGATACCAACAATGGCGTGACACAGAAGCTAACAGCCACACCACATCAGACCAATGGTGACTTCGTGGGATTTATGGACACAGCATTTCTCAATGACATTAACTGCACCAGTGTATACACAATCAGCCAATGGTTCTGAAGGCAAAGTCCTCGCGCCAGTGACAGAAAATGATTTGCCAGTAACGCTATCTAGACAATAAAAAGCGCTCCACTATTCTACTTATACGACAGATATACAATGTGTTGCTGGTAATTTCAAGTGTTCCACCAAGCATTTCTTTTGTAGTAGTCGATTTATTCATGCCTGATCGGGTAAAGATGCGAGCATAACAGGCAACTGCGTATGACAAAACCAGCGCCTGACTATGAGGTGAGTGTCATCTCGGCCAGCCTGTTCACCAACGCTATGCAATGCTTAAACGCGCAACGATATCGACTTCGCTAAAGAAGTTACCTCCGAGATATTTCGCTTTCAAAGCTTTGTCAGTGCTACACTCTAGTCGTGATTACTCGCGAACGAACAATTGAACATTTTCCCAAGCTGTTGCTGCTGAACGCGTATACAGCTTTAGTAACGTAGGATACCTCTTGCACTCGGTGAACGTTGATGCAAGCTGCGGTACCACTACGAATGCTAAAACAGCTAAGCGTACCCACAGATGAAAATGTAAAAAGAATTACGTTAGTGTGTTACCTGCGCTAATATGCAAGTGCAGAATTATTTGAAAAATTTGACAACCAATGCCACGTCACTTATTATTTCAAAAAAATCAAAATCGTGATAGCACGTACAGTCCGTTGGTTGCCACTTGAAATGAATATACTATTTCTTAATGACAGCACATGCTTCCGTTTTGTGGTCAGTTGCAGGTGCGGCCATGCTATCTTGCGCTAGAAATTGGCAGCATCCGCGCTGGGCTGCCATAAAGAAGACGAGTGACACCGATACCCAAGGAGTGACTCTGCAGACGAACGGAGAGCCGTTTAACCAGAAACAGGTGCAGACCGCATGCATCCCTTGAGCCTTGGTGAGTTTACGCCTCACCTACACAGTGTGAGGTTCCTCAAGTGAAAACAACTCGTGTTATCTGGTGCATATGACCATGGTCTTAGATTGGCAGAAAGAGTTCAAACGCTTGCTTCCCCCCTTTTTCTTTCCATGTGAAGATTCTTGTGGTCAAGCTCTATCAGGCATGCGGTGGACCACCCTTACGCGCATGCGCGGCCCTCCCCCTTTCTCCTCTCCTACACGTCTGCTATGTCTCATGGGCATTCCTAACCGCAGTATGTACACCCCCATTGCGCCTGTGCCGCCTCTCCCACTCCTTTCATACGCTGCCGCCATCTCTCGCCTCGCTACGCCGACCAAGGTAGCATCTACTAGCGAGTTTTTTCATTTGAAAACAACAACTTATCGCACTGCACAGCCGTTCACTGGCCACCCCATATATATATGAGGCCCTTGATCTTGACCTCCAAGGTAGTGTAGGTGAAAAATTTCTTTTTTGCGTTGTTGAGTCGAAATTCGGTGCATGCGCGTTAAATAAAAGCGGACAGAGGGTTCCTATGTCCAATTGGAATCCTCTGTATCTTATTGCCCATTAGCAGCGATCGGCATGTTACAGTAAGAAACACTAGTTCATCACTGCATGCTTGGCACCTTCAAACGTAACAAGCTGGCGCACTAAACCTCACTAACAAAGTTGTCACCGTCATTTATTACATCTCATACACGATAAAAAAAGGTGTCCATGAAAGAATAACCTAAACCTCGCTTCCTATGTGAGTGTCCATGTAGTTAGGAATTAGGTGTAGAAAGATTAGGCCTCAAGAGATTTGTCCCATGGGAACTAAAAAAAAAGCATAGGAATTATTTGCACTGAATATATAACACGTTACAAGAACTCAGGAACAAAGTTAATAACGTGGCGAATGACGATTTCCTCGCCATCGATTGCCAGAGGTACAGCTGCCTACCAAGCATAAATGAAACTGTTATTATGAGCTAAAGTAAGTGCGAAATGACGCGATTGCTTACGTAAGCAAGAAACACAGACGCATTTAGTGAAGCTTGCGTCATTAGCCCATCTATTTATTGTCAACGAGAGAGCTGCATTATCATTGTTTATGGTGAATGCCTACCATATGTGACTGCTACAGGATGAAAATGCTTATCATTTGTAAAATAACTTGTTGTTGGGCTATGTGGTAGAACATTTCAGAAAGGTGATTTGAGCGCGAACACACACACAAACACACACACACACACACACGCACGCACGCACACACACACACACACACACACACACACACACACACACACACACACACACACACACACACACACACGCACGCACACACACACACACACACACACACACACACACACACACACACACACACACACACACACACACACACACACACACACACCCAAGCACATGCACTTAGAAGCGCTGTGCGTGTTCGATGCCTGGGTGTGTGTGTGGGTGTATGTGTCGTGTGGTTCAAATTTGTTTTTTGAAATGCCTATAATTTTTTTCTTCGGATACAATTACATTGCAAAGTACGCGTACTATTTGAAGTTATGAGTGGTGTGGCTTAAAATGAACACATTGCTGGATGCTAGTGATTTACACGGTAAATTGAATTCTCCTTCTGTACATCCTCGCTTTTTCTTGAGTCAGAAAAAAGTAGCGAAACCGAAGTTCACGCAGGAGACAATTTTTATTTTCTACACCACGAAACGGTTTTTCGCAGAACATACTTGAACAACGCATGAAATTTGAAGTTACCTAAATGTTTTGTAAAGTGGCATCCACAAAGACGAAGTAGGTTGGGGATGAAATTACATGAATCTCACGAACTATGAAAGTCAAAGTTGTGCAAAGCGTCCGCTGCGTGTAGGCTACTGAGACACGGGCTTATAGTCTTGCTCTTACTGATGTCATTATGATGCTGTCGTCATGCCCTCGCTCTGTCGTCGCGAGTAACGGGTGCGCTTCACGTACTTTATTACTCGGATTGCACAGAAAGCCACCTCACCATATTACACAGCGCAAGAGGGAGAAGGAGAGAAATAGAATAAACAAGGTAGGGAGGTTTAAAAATTTCTGGGTCCAAAAACACAACGCCAAGCTGTAGCGTAGGAGTTCATATAAATGAACAGCTACCAGTATCCCTAAAAATGTGGCGGGGTGGAATATGGGGATCCCAGATTAATTTTGACCACCTAGGATCTGTTACTCCAGCCCTCGTCATGGTGGAAAAAAAATTGTGCTGCTCTTTCACCCCCCCCCCCCCCTTAAAAAATACGGTCGCACCGACCAGGATATCACTGTCCTGCTCGAGCTCTGTGGGTTAACGCCATGGCTATGCTGATAGGAAGGAATACGCCAGAAGTGACAATGATTCTCGAATAAGCGAACCTACGTGCTTTATAGATTCTACTGTTCATATTCGTATTGCATCATGCGTTATACATATGGCCAACAATAACGATCGAACAATATTGATTGCTAATGAAAACTTCAAATATTCAGCTGTCAGGAGCACCTGACACGCTACTGCACACTGATACGGTGCCCTACAAAAGATTAACAGAGAAACACTCTGTCCGGACGACATTCACAATCGAAGCTGCCCAAATCTATTGATAGTGTTTTATTAGGTTTGGGTGAGTCCTTGATGTATGCATAGGAGGGACTGATGCATAGTTGACAATTTATTTATTGATTGAGAGAAAAGAACATTTAAATATTTACATGCACTGTAATGTTGAGAGAAAGCACGGTTGCACGATTCATTGCTCCGTTGCAATGTTGCTGTCATCATCATTATCACCCTCAATATGTATCTAGCAACTTTTGGTGTGATCCATGACGCATACTTGGTGCACGCCATAGGGTGCTTTATTAGAACGTGGTGATTAGGTGCACTTTGCCGACTTACATACCGCATGCAAGACACAGTGGTGATCCGCCAAGGTTTCGATAAAAACCGCTGCGCATTGGTGGTATTCATAAGTATACTATGCAGGCATAAGCGTCCAAGACTACACCACATTTCTCAATGAAGACGCAAGTGCAATAAATGCGAAAAAGTATTTGGTAAGCTAACGTTTCTAAACCAACATGCTCGTCCATAATATGGTGCCTGCGGTGGTACGTACTTGTCGACTGATGCTACAATATTTAGCACCCCGTGACCAACTGCTAATCTTGATAAAACACTTTCGCCACATATTCTGTGGTTCGACTTGAATTGTATAATGATGTTTCAGCCTGAATTCTTGTACATAGATTTCAGGGCTGAAATACTCCTGGCTGTTACTACAACTCGTTAATTACACGTAAAAAGACAAAAAAGAAAAAAAACCGATGCGCTAATCACTCCTAGTCCAGCACCAATTAAATATACAGAAATTTCATTTATGCTCGCTTACCGCAGAGCGACTGTCTTGGATTATATGGGCGAGGTTTTGGAGGATACTGCGCACTCGCAAAAACGAGGAATAGTACCACAAAGCATATTGCTGCAGCTTTCATTTTGAACAGCGGTAATGGAGCTCTTCTCGGCTGGTGACCCGAGTACGTTGTGAATAACGATGGCCCCCTTGACTCCTGGTCTTGCTTCCTACAGATACTTGCCGTTCCAGTGTCCAGCGCGCTTTCGTGTATGTGACATGTTGCAACAATAGACAATAAATGAATAGCTGCAGCTGCTCGCGAAATTCGTTCACGCTGACACCTACAGTGGCTGCAGCAACACCTGCGTGTGCGTGCACCTAGAACTGCTACTTTGAGCAGCCTACGTCTGCAGGCAAATAGATTTTGCCGTAGGCTAATTCGTAGCCAATAATATTCGGGGGAGGGTGGTTTAACGTCCCAAAGCTACCATATGGTTAGGATAGACGCCACAGTGAAGGGCTTCGGAAATTTTGACCTTCTGAGGTAGAAGGTGGGAAACAGATTTAGTGTTGACGTGGTTGTTTCGCCGTGAAATAGGTTGGGCCGAGTCTGCGCAGCGGTGGACAGAAAAATTGCAGGCAAACAAAAAAAAGTGAAGTGATAGTGAGGTTATTCACTAGAAACGTCAGTCGCATGTGGAAAGGGTGCGGTTTATCTCATCCCCTTGTCTTGTGATATGTGCCGTAATTAGTAAAACGGGAGGTGTTCGAATAACTGACTAATGGATCACAGGGCATCGCTGAAGGCCCACCGTTCGTCAAATCTGTGCCAACATTGCAGAGATTGCAAGTGTTACCCATTACTTCGCGAAACAAAAGTGTTGTCTCGGCACAGAGAAGGAACATCGATAGAAGTCGCTGAGGCTTTTTATATCCAAAAGTATGGCGACATGTGTGTCGCAAGGCGTTCAGCCACATTTTATCAACTAGACGAAACTTATCTCACTGCCAACCTCTAATCTTTTACGCCCCTTTATTGCTACTGATTTGTGTTTCCTTCAATAAACTTCGAGTTGCTATTGTCTGCATGCAGTTGTGTGTGTGTACCTTCTCTGTTTCTTGTCTCTTTTTCGCGCAGTTTTTGTAGTTCTGGGGTTTTTCAACGTGCTCACAAATCTAAGCACATGGGCCTAAACCATTTTCGCCTCCATCGAAAATGTGGCCGCTGCGGCCGTGATTTGATACCACGGCCTGCGGGTCAGCAACCGAGTGCCTTAGCCACTTGACCACTCGGGCGGGTCTCTGATTGAAAGAAGGTTTATGGTCTTATACGCGGTGCCCTAAGGCGCAGTTCTCTTCGTAACGTTATCACTCGATTGCCTAGAAGGCCTGCGTGATCAATCAATCAATCAATGAATCAATAAGTCCAATAATTAATCAATAAATAAATCAATAAATGGTGTCTGAAGTCCCGATTCTGGGGCGCGTGAACAAACAAAGGGAAGACAAGCTTACAAAATATTGGAAATGCAGAGACTGACATGAAAGGTAGGCAAAGCAGTCCAAATATTGATAAATATATTACGAATACCCTACCACGTCCGCGCCGTTAAGCATTTGATCCCAGGCTCTTTCGAGTGCGTTGCGGATCGACTGAGTTTGGTGCAAGGATGGGTTGCTTGCACATGTCTCGTGCAGCCTTTGATCTTGTCAGGGTAGCGCTGTAAAATAAATATAGGGAGTGTTGTTGCTAGCTACTTTCAATATACTCCAGATAGGGTAGTCGCAATGAATCACTCCGTAATTGAGAGAGGTGGGAACAGTGAGAACGCTGATAAGGAATCTGCAGAGTGCAAAAGGGCAAGGTCATAACAGCAACAATAATTCCGTGTATGCCCTTGTAACTTTCAGCAGTAGGACTGCCTTTTTGCCAAGTTAGAGAACTGGCATATGTTTCCTATCCCTCATTGGGGGGGCAATCCTATTAGCTGAGAAAATGTTATGCTAAGGCCGTTTTAATATCATTTGAACATGCCACCTAGACAATTTTATTGATAAATATACTATGCGTTTGTCTTTCAATGTGAATAGTTTGCCGAGGCAGCTGCTGATATCTAGGAATGCTTTTTCACTACAACGATTAAGGAATTTCACTGAAATCAATCATCTGTTAACAAGATTAGCCGTGTTATTTATTAACAAAGTCTTTCCATGATCAACGAGCCTAGGAAAAATGGAACAGATTTCAACGGTTACAAGTCTTGCATTTTAAATAAAGCGTCAATTGGACAATGCAATGTGCGGGCTCCTTGGTATATTTTTCATGTTCTTGCTCCACTATAGTGTAAAGCCATTTTATTGGGAATAGACTCCAGTCTCTTAGTGTAAAAGGTATGTAACTTCCGTCGGGCTGCATATAAAACTCGTGTCTGACGTATCATGAATCTGCCTCTTGATTTTCCTTGTCGCGACACTAGATAGAGCAAATAATCGTCTAATGCTCTATACTGTTGCGTGGGCCAGTACCCCGGTCCGAAGCCACGACATCACATTGGTGCTCCTATCCACCACCTGCAAAGTCCTAGCCTTGAGATAACGCTACTGAAATCACCGCTGATTGATTGATTTGTGGGGTTTAACGTCCCAAAACCACCATGACTGAAATCACCGCAGCCAAGGAGATTTTTTCATTGATAAAAGGAATGCTAGCCCTTCATATATGGCTATAGATCATTTTCGGATAGCAGACATGGGGATGTCATTGACGACATTGAAGGTTACTCCTAGGGAAGCGAAACCACAACTACGAGTAAGACTACAAAAAGGCGCATCAGTAAAATCTTAGTACCTGCCTCTCAGGGTTTTCAACTTATCGATAGGAAATTGTGCCGCATTGGCGTGTACGAAAAAACCAATGGCGAGGTATCCAATCTTCTCTGATGGTGCAGTGATTTCTGTCATCATGCACTACCGATATTTAGGGGTGGTCATTGACCGCAACCTGTTCTGGTCAAAGCACGTCACTGCGGTACGAAACAAACTAGTTAGCTTTGTGTTATAGCAGTTGTCTTCGTGTTATAGCAGGACTGAGATGGAGCCTTTCAGAGAAAAATCTTCTGGAGTCGTACGAAGCACTGTTTGCGGGCTATATACGGTACAGCTCATCTGTACTTCAGAGCATGCGTGCAACATGCCTTTGTACTTTTGAGAGCCTTCAGGCACGAGCACTGAGAACATGTCTAGGCCTTCCACCGTGCACGTCAACTCTGGCACTGTAGTAGAGTACCACACCTACCATACAAAGGTTTGCAAGTCCTGTGAGCATCTTCGGGTGCACCTTCTACTGCTGACCCGACATGCGCAGCGCCCGTTGTCTTCGCTACGAAGAGACCGACCAGGCTGTAGCTATTCACGAATCCTTGATACGAATATACACATGATCCCTTCAGAACTTGCATCTGTCGTAATCTCCGGAGTTCATCCATGAATATTGTTACGATGGGGCGTTTTTATTGAAGAACGAATGGTGAAGGGTAGCCGCGCTGACACCGAGCTGCTTCCAAATATACCACTTCTTTCTCCTCTTTCTTCCTTCACCCGTTGCCGCTTCAGCGCAACACTCTCCCTTTCCCAGAGGATGCCCCCTGAGGGAGCATAATTCACGAGGATAAAAGCGCTTTAGGCAGGCGACGTCAACAAGCTGCGTCTGCCTAGAACGGTAGCCGCGAGGTACGAGACGAGCGATTTATTATGTCACAACACTTAGGCGATAGACGATGACAAAAGGACTGGTTTAATGAGCCAGGAACTTCTGGTACCGGCCACGCTTGCGAAAGGGTGTCCATAGTCATACGTTTTCTCCTTTTTCGTACGACAAGTTCTTGTGCCGTGAATCATAGGCGAACTTGGGGCGGTCTTGGGATGCCAACGTACGGAGCTGAGCAAGGCGACGTGCTTCCTCTGCGCGGCTGAGAGTCTTGGCAATAGAAGAGCTCTCATGCGCAAGAAAAGACAAAATGGTGTCAAGAAAGTGGCGGGGTGGTCTGACATATAAAATATAAAATGAACTGTAGCCAGAGGTTTCATGCTTTGCCGTGTTATATGCCTAGGGCGATAAATGGCAAGATGTAATCTAGTTCTTGTGTCTGGAGTCAACGTACATGGAAGCGTGTTGCTAAACGTTCTGGTGGTGCGCTCACGAGACCAATTGTCTTCGGGTGATATGGGGTCGAGTGGCGAAACTGGCAGCACAGAGACGCAAGAGTTGTTCTACAACATCGGCTACTAAACGTCGACCACGATCACTGAGAATACTCCGAGGCGGTCCATGGCGCAGTATCACAGAAGAGAGAAGGAACCTAGATAAATCGATGGCCCTGACTTGGTAGCGCTTTGTTTTTTCCACATAACGTGTCATGTGGTCGACGAAGACTATATTCCACCGGTTGTTGTTCAGTGAGCGGGGAAATGGACCGAAAATATGTACTTCAGCCATTTCGAAAGGAGATGAGAGTGGCGTCAAGGGGTGGAGGAGTCCAAGTGGAGTAGTACTTGTTCGCTTAGGTTCCTGGAATTTATTACAACTGGCCACATACGTTTCTGAATCGCGTCGAGTGGTAGGCCAGTAGAATTGAGCCCGCAGGCGGTGTTTCGTTTTGGTGAACCTCAGCTGCCCGCTGATGCGTCGTCATGCACAGCATAGAGTACGTGCGTTCTCAAATTCTTGTGAACCACTAAAAGAAGGCGGGCACCATCAGCCACGTAATTTTTTTGGTAAAGCAAGCCATCTCGTAAAATAAAGCCATGGCTACTTATCGGTTGAACGGCTTGGTCTAAGAGATCATGCAAGCTGCGGTCGTTGCGCTGTTCTTTCCGGAAGGTAGCGATGTCATGAAAATCAGTATCGTCGATGGCAGCTAAATAATCATCAAATTGGTCGGTGTCACATAAAGTGGTTGGTAGGGGAAGCCTCGAGAGACAGTCGGCGTGTGAATGATGGTGGCCACTCCTGTAGCATATTGTAAAGTAAATTCCTTCAAACGTAGCGCCCATCGCGCAAGGCGACCAGACGGGTCACGAAGGCCAACCAACCAACATAGTGAATGGTGGTCAGTCACGATCGTGAAGCGCCGCCCGTAGAGATATGGGCGGAACTTGTGCACAGCAAACAACACAGCGGGGCACTCGTGTTCCGCAACGGTGTAATTCTTCTTAGCCTTGCTCAATGAACGACTGGCATAGGCGATGACATGTTCGGCATCATCGAAGCGCTGGA